TATTAAAGAAACTCAATTTGGATTCCGTAATGGCGTAGGTACTCGTGAAGCTCTCTTTGCATTCAACGTACTAATCCAGAGATGCTTGGATGTGAACCAAGATATGTACGTCTGTTTCATAGACTACAACAAAGCTTTTGACAAAATCCGCCACAAAGAGCTAATGGACATCCTCAAAGCAAAACAACTACAACACAATGACATTCGATTATAACAAATCTATATTATAAACAGCAGGCACACGTACGCATTAATGAACACACATCAGAAGAGTTGGAAATTAAAAGAGGAGTGCGACAGGGGTGTGTATTGTCACCACTACTATTCAATGCATACTCTGAAGAAATTAAAAAAAGAGCTCTTGAGGGAGAAACAGCAGGAATCAAGGTCAATGGAACACCAATTAACAACATTAGATATGTGGACGATACTATCATAATAGCAGACAACCTCCAAGACCTCCAAAAGCTAATGAACAAGATAGTTTAGTATGGAGAAGAATATGGATTATCAATAAACACCAAGAAATCCAAATTTATGAGGATATCAAAACCCAAAATAATGGTGAAAGCCTGACAATTAACGGTAGTGCTTTAGAACAAGTTGAAAACTACCACTATCTTGGCACAATAATTAATCACACAAACGATTACTCCAAAGAACTCAAAGTTCGAATAGAGAAAGCACGTGCAAACTTCAATAAAATGAGAAAGGTACTTTGTGCAAGAGAACTAAAATTGGACTTGAGAGTTAGGCTGGCAAAGTATTATACGTTCTCGACTCTGCTTTATGGGATGGAGCATTTGAAATGTGGGTGTATAGAAGAATCCTAAAGATATCATGCAGCGAGCATGTAACAAACAACGAAGTCATGAGAAGAATCAACAAAAGAATGGAAGTATTGGAAACCGTCAAGACACGAAAACTGCAATACCTGGGGCATGTTATGCGAAATGAGGGATACAACCTACTTCAATTGATTATACAAGGGAAAATCCAGGGCAAGAGAAGTGTAGGAAGAAGAAGAATCTCATCGTTGCGTGACTTGAGGGAATGGTACGGATGCACTCAATTGAACTATCAGAGCAGCAGCATCTAAGATCAGAATAGCCATGATGATTGCCAACCTCCGTCGCGGAGATGGCACGTGAAGAAGAAGAGATTTTTAAAACACAAGAAATCATAAAGGACAAAATATAGAATAGAAAAAATAGAATATAGAAGCTCAGTTATCAATAAAACTACTATACTGTTTGAATTAATTGGGACAAATGAAAACAAAAACATTTATTTACAAGTTTGTTATAAAACCTTAGCTTTTGATTACTACATACCATAAATAAACTAAAAGATTTATATATTAGTACAAAATATTTCCTCCTTTAACAGAAATGACCTCTCCAACACGTCGTGGCATTGACTCCACTAGTTTATTGCATATGTTTTTGACTTCATCATCGTTGAACCACACTTGTATAGTATTTGTTATTATTTTTTGTAGTACAATTTATCTTAGCTAAATGTTTCTTGAGAACATATCATAAGTTCTCATTGGGATTTAGGTCTGGTGAACTACCAGGCCAATCAAGCAATTTTACTTTATTTTTCGGCATAAAAGTCTAGACCAATTTCTGATTGTGACAAAAGGCGAAGTCATGATTAAATGTTCCGTCAAATGTTTCCATGAATGGAACAATCCTTCTGCATATAATGTATTTTGTAGAATTCATCACGGCTTCCTCTTAGGTTTGTTGCGAAAAAACCTCTAACATCTGTTTAGAAGGGTATTTTACAGTCTATTGATATATGAGTCTCGTCGCAGAGGTTTACCATATCTTCATCAAAAATAAACTTGATTCTTGATTGAAAATCAAGTTAAGTCAATCTTTTTCCAGTCAGCAACAGTCCTTTTTGGAACCTTCTTAAGCGTTTTTTTTTTATAATTTTCTATGTTAGAAATTGTTTTTCTTCGTCTTCTTGGCCTTGTGGCCAACATCCAGAGGCTTTTTCCGTGCAGTTGAGGTATTCACTTTAACATCATAATCCAATAAATTCCTTTGAATGCCTGGGCTGGCCTTTCTTGGATTTAGGAGTCGTTTTCTTTTTGAAAACGCTGATCCGGATTCTTGAAATGTTTTTAAAATTATTGGAACACTTGATTTTCCTACACCAACTGTTGTAGCTATACCTCTCACAATCATAGATGTATGTTCATTACGTGGAACACAACATTATAACAACTGGCTGCTACGTAGAAAGGCTAACAACTGAACTATTGACTACTGATCTAAATCCAGTCAAACGAGTAAATTATAGTCAAGGTGGATCAGTTCATACTGTCTCTAGGCAGATATAACCGGTTTGAGGCGATTCTATTGGTTTTGAGTATTGTTATACTTACACATATCCAGCGATGATCATAGCCATTATTCAGTATGTACCACATTGATAAACCAATTTAGCTATATAAGATACAGATATATAGAAAAATTATTAGCCTACTAGAGAATCATAAAAAATTTTAAGTCAACTTGCAACGCCGCTATACGTTCAATATAAATAAGACCTCCTCAGCTTCTATCACTTGTTAGTTTGAAGAAACTAGAATTTAGTTTTTTTTAAGTTGGAGAAAGAGATGTCGGATGGAGGCAATTCCGGTGAATAAGGTGGATGTTTGAGTAATGGCAACCCTAAAACTCAAATTATTTGCATGACAATATGCGATTTGTGTCCAGAGACATTGTTCTACAAAAACAAAATACCTTTGGACAACGTTTCGCGAGTTTTTAGTTTCCTAAGTCTCTGAAGATATTGTATCTACATAGTAATTCCACTGGTCTAGGCTAATTGGATATCAATAGATACTCGTATATGATTATGCCGAAACTTGTAAATCGAAGCTTTTAGTTTTATATAATCTGGAATTTCTAGAGTATAAAAACTTTGTACACTTTTTTGAACAATTTTGAAGACATTTTCTTTTACAACAAGGTATAATTTACCTTTTGATTTTTTCTGTATTTGCTTTTTCTATCGAATATGTTTTACGTGATTTTGTAAGTAAATATTCATGTTACATTATTTTTTCACACACTAAAATGTACCACGACCTATTCTTAGTGTTTCCTTGTGTAAACCACCTGCAGAAACTTGTCGGAAAGGACGAAATAACTACCTAAATAAAAAATTAGTTTATTTTTTGTTTGAAAAACATGTCAACATTCCTAATCTAATACATCTACGAAACCACAAAAACAATCAATCCAAAACACTTATTTTGTACACGAGTTTTACTATCAAACACGTGCTTAGTGATCGCTTGTTATTGTCCGGGTGGATTAGTGTTCATTCTGATAATTACAAGCTATCAAACTCTTGCGTACTCGATTTAAAAATAAGGTAAACGATACTTTAAAATGAACTCTGGATTATTTATAAACTGTGGGAGCGTGTACTAAGTAAAATTTTGGCTACCGTTCAAATTATAAACATCTGTTGAATTTATTTTTTCCGATTCGAATACGATGCTTAACGGTGAGGAAGGAAGTTTCGACAAAACGGAATGTATTCTCGAAATACTGGGGTCACATGCTTTTCAATTAGACTATTGTAAAATTAATCTACCAGTTGAACCAGCTGAAGGGAGAAAACGGAATAACTCAAATATACTACTAGACAGAGACGGAAAGTTTATTATGGAAACAACAAAAATTACGTAGATGGAAAGAATGTATTGATGAATTATTTCAAGACCACAGACAAGTCTTTTCTCGTTCAACCTTCGTATTTGACAAATCTGCTTATTTTTGGCAATTGTGCCTTCATGCTGTATTCTCACTTCATCTTGTCCGTGGTCGGTCCACAATGTTTCTACCCGAATTCAAATGAATGCAAACACTACCAAGCACTGTCACACATCCTAAAAACTCTCTTAAGAATCATGCACACCAAAATACACTCCAAACTAGAATTAAACATTAGTGCAGAAGTCTGGGCGCTAGAAGTATCGATCATGAACAAAATTGAAGCATTGGAAATATGGATTCATAGACGATTGCTGAAGATACCTTGGACAGCAAGGAAAACTAATAAAGAAGTACTAAGGAGCGTGAACAAAGATAGAGAACTGCTAAAGACTGTTAAACATCGAAAAATGTCTTATCTGGGACATATAGTAAGGAAAAGTCGATATAAAATATTACAACTGATTCTTAAGGTCAAAATAGAGGGCCGTAGAGGTGTAGGAGGAAACAGGTTTGTTGGTTGAGGACAATTATTCCATATTGCAGAAGATCGAGAAGCGTTCGCAACGGTGATCGCCAACGTCAGATAATTCTGATATAGCACGCGAAGAAGAAGAAGACACGCAATTCGTCTTCCGTAACGATGTAGAAAAGCACTATTTGCTTTTAATGTTTTTGTTCAAAGACTCTTGAGACATTAGTCAATATGTACGTATGTACAGATCATAATATTATTTACGCATTTATGTAACTCTTACTCTAGTACAATATTATTATTTATCTTGCGGTTCAATTCAAAGCAAAATATAGGGCAGAAGAAGTATCAGAAGAAGACGAATATCTTGGCTAAAGAATCTAAGATAGTTGCATCTCAAAATAACTCTTTAGAGCAGGTGCTTCAAAAGTTAGAATGGCTATGATGATTGCCAACCTCCGCAACGGAGATGATACGTCAATAAGAATATTATAAAATTGGGAAGTTAATCAAAAAACGTCAGCAATTTTAATATTCTGCAAATTGGACGACTTATACTCTAAATTACACCAATATAGCAAAATTTTTAAATTTTGTAGATCTGTCAAAAATCAGCTAGTTTCAAAATAACATTCTTTAAGTTGTTTTGTAATAAATCTTAGACGATATCAAAATACATAAAACCCCATAATAACGCGAATGTTTATTAATCTTATATATTGAAATCATTTTTCAACTTTTGTCCTAATACTAATCTGTTTTTTTTTTTGTTTCAGGGATGACGGCTAAATGAAAATGGCATCACCTACACCTTCAATAGAATCAATACCTAGAGCAAGTTCAATTGGATCATTCGGTGATCAACACGACTACTTATCATTATCGCCTTTGGCGGATTCACCATTGTCAGTAAGCGGCTCATCGCCCCCAGTAAGTGACTCAGTAGACAGAGACAGTGATCACTCTGAACTACATTGTCAGCAGTGCAGAGAACCCGTCTCAGACCCAAAATTGTTAGCCTGTTTTCACACGTTTTGTAACGCTTGTCTCGAAAAAAACAAACTCATCTGTCCACGTTGCAATACTGAATCAATCGAGGGCATCTTAAATAGCCTTCTCTTTAACACAGATAACAGCAACGATTTCCATTCAGCTGCTGTCCGTTGCACAGGCTGCAAACATAAGAAATTAGACGCAGTCGCCCGCTGTGTCGAGTGTGCCAACTATTTGTGTTCCAATTGCGTCATGGCACATCAATTCATGCACTGTTTCGAAGGCCACAGGGTTGTTAACCTGCCGGAGATTAAAGATGAACCCAAAAATGGAGTAATCTCCAACGGTATCATGGGCATCATATCCAATACCGAAAAAAGTATGATCTGTCCTCGTCATAAAGCAGAATTGTTAAAGTATTATTGCCGCACGTGCGCCGTACCAATTTGTAAAGAATGTTTAGCTTTGGATCATCCCATCGGGCTCCACGACTATGAACACATCAGCGAAGCTGCACCAAAACAGATCGAAGCGATTCAACACGCTGTAACTGAAGCAAAGAGCAAAGCTACCGATATCAGAAATATCCTTAAAAATGTAGAACACGTTTCCAGTCGCCTCCAGATTCAATATCAAAAAGCTCAAAACGAAATCAATGACACTTTCCTATTTTACAGATCCATGTTGGAGGAAAGAAAGCAAGAACTTCTCAAAGAATTAGAGAGCGTTTTTAGTGCAAAACAAATCTCATTGGGCGTGGCCACGCAAAAGGGCCAGGAAACGTGCGAACAAATTTACAAAACCTGCGAATTTGTAGAGAGACTGAATAAATGTGCAAATGTTGTTGAAATACTTATGTTTAGAAAATTATTAGATAATAAATTACAAGGTCTTTTAAATTATAACATTGATCAAAGCGTGCAAGCAGCATGCGAGTTGGAATTCGTATCAAACTATCAAGCCATACAAGTAGGCGTCAGAAATACTTTTGGTTATGTGAGATCAAACTCAGAGCCAGTGGTGGGTCCAAGCAAACAGCCCCCTATCGCTAGACCTACAGGCGGTGGTGGTTCAAGCTCCAGCGGTAGCAGCGTCAACGGAAGTTCTGGTAGTCTAAACGGTGGAATGATCTGTTCATTTCCCATTTCCAACTCAAGTCAATCTACATCTCCTTTCGAATCAAACATAATCAGCAAACGATTCAGCAGTGCCAACAGTTTGGGTCCGTTTTCGACGACAATGGGAGATTTAAATCTCAATGGTATCAACCCTTACGAGAAGTGGTCCAACGGCGGAACTACGGACAGTATTTTTCAAAATGGAACCGCCGATCCATACGCGCTAAGCGGTACCACCCATAATGACCCCATGCTAGATCTGACTTCTAAACTCATGTCGACTGCGATCTTTCCCCCGAAATCTCAAATAAAACGACAAAAGATGATTTACCATTGCAAGTTTGGAGAATTCGGTGTTATGGAAGGACAATTTACCGAGCCCAGCGGAGTAGCCGTGAACGCCCAAAACGACATAATTGTTGCCGATACGAATAATCACAGAATCCAAATCTTCGACAAAGAAGGCCGATTTAAGTTTCAGTTTGGCGAGTGCGGTAAACGCGATGGACAATTGTTGTATCCCAATCGCGTCGCTGTAGTGCGCACATCCGGGGACATTATCGTTACAGAACGGTCTCCGACACATCAGATCCAGATCTATAACCAATATGGTCAATTTGTTCGTAAATTTGGAGCAAATATCCTCCAGCATCCTCGTGGTGTTACCGTAGACAATAAGGGACGAATCGTCGTTGTGGAGTGCAAAGTTATGAGAGTGATCATCTTCGATCAAACCGGTGCGGTACTCCAGAAATTCGGCTGTTCGAAGCATTTGGAATTCCCTAATGGTGTTGTCGTGAATGACAAACAAGAAATCTTTATCAGTGACAACCGAGCTCATTGCGTTAAAGTATTCAGCTACGAAGGAGTCTACTTACGACAGATCGGTGGAGAAGGTATCACCAACTACCCTATCGGAGTAGGCATAAACGCCAACGGAGAAATCCTTATCGCAGATAATCATAACAACTTCAACCTGACGATTTTTACCCAAGACGGCCAGTTGGTGTCTGCATTGGAAAGCAAAGTCAAGCACGCGCAATGCTTCGACGTGGCCCTGATGGACGACGGTTCCGTGGTATTGGCCAGCAAGGACTACAGGCTCTACATATATCGTTATGTGCAGGTACCTCCCATCGGCCTGTAAACGAACGTTTCCTCCAGGCAGGGTCTCCAGCCGCCATTCCCAACACTTTTTGTTGATGCATTTTTGAATGGAGTGGGCGGATGCTGGTCTGTTAATTATATTATTTTTTAAAGTTGTCAAAATTTTCACGATATTTATCGTCATAGTTTTGTACTGTATTTCACATGTTGATATTTTAATATTTAACGTTTGACGATGCGAAGCTGAACAGTCGCTACTTTGGTGGCCTGTCGCCATGTTGTATGACCAAATTTATCAATTTTTAAAACAGGGATTTTATTATTATTCAGATTAGAAATGTTAACCAAGCATCGCACGGTGCCTGGGCCATTGTTGTAATTTAAATTTGAGCAGTTTCCGATGATAATGATCTATTTTAATATGCGTGTATGATGTTGTGTATGTTCTTAGAATAGAGCCTTGTTGTTTGCGGGATGCCGCGTTGTTACGGACCCTAGTCAACCATATGAACTGTACTTTCAATTTAACATAGTAGTATCTCATTTTTATTATTATTATCTTATTATTATTATTACGAATAATTGTTCCCTCTTTTCCTGTGGATGTTTGTATACTATAGAGTGCCGTGCCACTCGGGACACACCCCGTAGTTGGCAATTTGTTTTTTACGTTTATGTATTTTTAGTTTTGTTATTCACATTTAATATTAGATAATACTACGTGTGTGGTGCATGCGACATCTTTCCACCATCTCTTATTTTTTTACTTAGTTGTAGGTTTTTGTAGTAATATATTTGTTTGTTGATGCTGCCAAGTTTAAGATAGAGGACGTCGATTCACTACACAAAGATCGGCGTCCTAGGGCGCCATAAGCCTTTCAAGACTATATACTTAGTAGCTAGGTTTTTCGTTCATTATTACTCTTGTTATCTCGAGGCGAAACCATGGACAATAGCTCAACAGTTAATTAATCTTAAAAAAATATCCAGTCAGCGGTAACCTTGTTAAGATGTTTCAATTATGATGACCATATTATATAAACTAAGTGACAAATTCCAATTCATCCATCAAATACTGTCTTATTCGTTACGAGATCAATTTTTTGTAGCACTCTTTTTAACTATTTCTTGTCTGGTGTAGCCATCACCTATTCCTATAAAAACTAAACCCTAGATTCAGTGACAGTGGAATTGAATAATCGGTTATCAAACAAAAATATTTTCACATTTTTGACAAGAAAAAAGTCCCTTTTCCAAGTAAGCACTTTTCCTATATTATTTTGTTTTAAGTTTAATAACAGATTTGATCATTGACCTTGCATATAAAACTAATTAGTGTAGTATAACCTTCTGATGTAACAACTTAAACAAGGTTAACATAAAAACTAAGCTGACAGGGCATTTTTTCGATATTATAGTTGAAGACAATTGGGCAAAATATCCTGCAGACTTTATTTCGCTTTTATTTTTGTTTTGTTTGTTTTTATATTGATAACAATTTGCCACCACATGACAATTTTTTATTTATTTTATTTATATATTTTATATTTAGAAGTTGTAAGTAAATCGAATGTTTTGTAGTCAGAAAACGGTTCTACGTAGGAATTACACGCCACTTATTTAATTCCAACCTTACATTACTTGTAGAGTTAAAAACGCAATCAATCCTTAAACCTAGTTTACTTGAAAGATATATGTTGACATAGTCCGAATATGAGCCCACACCACATTTACATTGATGTAGATTAATGGTTTTTGTGTTTCGGGCCCTTCAGAATGTGCCAACGTATCTTCATAAACGGTTATATATTAGCTTAAAACAAAACAACATGCAAATCAGTCGCTTCCTTTGACTCACATGCGTGAACGCTCGACAAAGGAATTATTACTGCAACTTTGACACGATTCAAAAATTTGTGCTTTGGAGAGAAGATAACTTGAATACCAATTCTTAAAAGTCTGAAATAGATTTTAGTTTAATAACGTTCAAGAACATTTTTTTTTATTTAATGACTTTGGTATATACTTCTATTCGAGCCAAATGGAGTCGTGGAATGCATATGATCAAGTTGAATATCAATTAGTGTTTTAACAATAACTACACTGATTTCTGGAACGGTAAACTTTGACGTGATTGGAAAAATCGATTAGGGATTTAAAAACTATATCACTTGGACATGTCAAAGAACGTAAGTCAGTTATCAAATACCACACCGTTGAAGGATACATAATAACTTCACCCTAACAGCTACACAAAACAGCAATATGTGCCTATTAAATAACTGATCATAAATATACAATGAAAATAATTAAAAGCTCATTGATAAAATTGTACTTTGAAACTTATAATAATGTGATAGATCTGAGCAGCAGCGTTTATTTTCAAATGGATTTAGAATATTTAATCCCACCGACTGCGCCAATTTATAGTGTACATAAAACCTGAATAATTCTGAACATTTTTGTCTTACAGTACTAGTAGGTTGGAGTTAAATGAATGTTAGAGTATTTTATAGTGTAGATAAATAAACTAAAGAACAATTTTTTTATCAACAACATCGAACTCCATGGTTTCATCTCGACAGAACTTCAAGTTTTTTATGATAATTTATCTTATTTTTATTTAAATTATATCATTGTTGTTTTTTGAGATCAGAGGCGATCTAATTCGCTAAATGTCTTAAAAGGGGCTGAGAGATCTCATCCCGTACCAGCCCTCGAAGAGAACCCTGCGGCACCCGGTTACTTCGCACAATTTCCGTCTCTCGGTTCCCATCTGACAAGTGTTGTATATGTTGTTTTAAAGTGTCTTGTTCAGAGCCACTCTATTTTTTCTATTGTTCTTAGACGTCCTTGGATGGGTACCTTGAGAAACGGAAATCTTAGAACGACCTCGGTGCAACATGGCGCTCAGTTTTTATTACTGCATTTTTAAACTTGTTGTTATTATTATATTATATTACTTTAATGGTAAAAAATTTGTTCGTAAATTAAATGTACATTGTTTTGTTTTTCTTTGATTTTTTGTTGTAAATGCTTTTTTTAATTAATAATACCATTCTTGCAGTTTTCACTTAGTTTTTTATTTATTTTACTTTTTTTTAGTTGTAGAATGAAGGGAGAAATTAGTTTTCTAAATATTCAATAGCTAGACGGTTTAAACTCGACGAAACTTTCAACTTCCGCAATCGCTAACATAATACCAAGTCTGTCCGGTCGTTGTTTATCTCTAGAAAAATATCAAGGGTATTTCTCAAAAATAAAAACGTTAAAAAAAATTAACGACATGTTTTTGTAATGTGCTATTACTAAGCAGTTATCAAAGGCATCTAAATGTTCAATTATTTCAATCCAAATATTTACAATTGGTTGCATTGTACAGCTATTACTATGAAATCAGACTTTTGTGAATAATTTTTATTTACTACGACTATATTTTTTCATAATTAAACAATATTTTAGTTTGGATAAAAACTGCGAAGACTTACTTCAAAATGTGCTTCTTTCGTTTTATAATACTTTTCGTTGTATATTATTGATATGCAAATAAAATTTATTTGAGACCTAGTCTATACAGGCGCTGTAATGGCTTATCATCTGCATATTGTATATACAGAGTGGAGTATCTGGAAATACGTAATTATCGCTTTTATGGATCTCGGAATTATATAAAGATAGGGATACACATATTTTGCAATATAAAGATTTGAAATTTGATGTTTGTGACGTTGCCAGATTTACAATTTTTCTGATGTCGTTAGTCACTTTGGTTTTTTAAATGCAACTCCCTGTATATTGTACCTTTATTGAAATGTGCACTGTAATACCACTTCAACAGTATACCATACTTTTATGTAGTCAGGAACATCTTAAAAAGATAAAACAAAAGCCAAGAAACGCCTAATCGCCTGAATAAATTTTTTGATTCAAACTATATACAACTAAATTTGAACATAATTAAAAATTTACTACATTGCTTTAATTCCTAATCAAGTATTCAAAATGTCCGTTGTTAATTTGACAGTATCTAAACGATGGTAGAATGCATCTATTACTTTTCTCCATGTTTCTCTAGAAATTAATTTGAATTAGTAGAAGGTAAGCCACTTGAGTGCACTTTGACCTCTGACGTCACGCGGCGATTGGATTATGCTAATTTGCCATTTTTTAAATCTAAATTAATCATTGACATAATACGTGTCATTTGTCATAAAACGTAACATTTGACATAAAACGTGACATTTTTCATACAACGTGACATTTTGACATAAAACATGACATTTGCATAAAACGTGACATTCGACATAATACGTGACATTTATGTGAAATGTCACTTTTTATATCAAATGTCAGGTTTTATGTCAAATTTCACATATTATATTATGTTTTATGTCGAATATAAATTAATTTAGATTTAAAAATGGCGAATTAACTCAGTGCTTTCTTCTCTTGGATTCATCTATAATTGGTTGCCTTAGGTCTGCAACACTTGCTTATTTAGTGTTATAAATTCTACTTTTCAAGTATCCTCAATAAAAAGAATCTCTAGGATTCAAATCGGGTGAACTATTAGGCCATTTAATACTACCTAATATATCAATCTATGTTCTGGGAAATATCTTGGACATTTGAAATGGAGCTCCGTCTTGCTGAAACCATATCTCATTAAATTGACTCCCAAACTTGTTTTTCAGTTCAGGTACAATTTCATTTTCTAAATAGCATTTTATCATTATCTCTTGTTTAATTTCCTTCTATCAAAAAACGGCTCAATTAACTGAGTATCCACTATACCCGGCCATACATTTAATTTTTGTGGTCTTTGAGTATGATTTTCACGTACAGTCTGGATTTACTTCATTCCAACACCTTAAATTTGGGCGATTTACGCGAGTTTGGCGAAAAACATATCTCGTTAATCAAGTTCTCGTCACTTCCAAATCATTTCCTCACTAAACTGTATTCGACGATAGTAGTCATCTTCATTTAGTTCTTGCAATAACTGGATTTTTTAGGGTTTAAATGAATTCCTATGTAATATAAGGCTACAGAAGGACCTACATGTATTTGTGCAGCTCTGCGTGAGGATTTATGTGGATCTTCAGCGAAAATCTGCATAAAATCTAAAGTTTTACTGTAATTTGTAACAGTTTTTATAAACATTTATAAAACTGTTTTATATTATAGATCTTTGAGGTGACTCTATAAAATATATCAAAAAAATAGTTGGGAAAAATCGTGGTAAATCTGGAAACATTGCAAGAATCAAATTTGAAATTTTCATATTGAAGACTGGATTGTATTCCGGTTTTTGTACAATTCGCACCATCCATTTAAAATAATTAGATGTTTTTAGACTTTTGACCCACTCTGTATATGTGACACTTGTTTCAATTTCATGTTTCATACACGGTATTTTACCGTTTTTTAAACATATATCCCGGGTGTCAATACCTTTATACCTACTGACATGAAAGAAATGCATTTTGAGATTAGCAAAATTAATTTATTATTTAATTATCAGCATATACATAAAAATTAAGTGTTGCAAGTACCTCGTTGAAGAATACGTTTAACAGCCCTAGCTAGCCGTTATCTAAACCACAAGAATCCCTCAATAGCCAATGTAATTCCACAAGTGCTCGTTTAGAGACAAATATCGGTAAAGGCGAGTTGAATAACGACAGACACGGCCATTTTGTTAGCGTTTAGCCCTCCGCAAGGAATTTCTCCCTTTCATTCTGCCTAACGATTGCCTCCTCTCTCCCTCCCTAAATCCCTCCCGAGTGTACGGTAGGTAATGAACGCACGGCACTGCTGCTCTACAGCTATCCCTCTATATAGTACTTTTGTACCTAGGATGTAAGTGTAATTGATATTCCTTACTGAAGCTTGTGTAATTTAAAAAAAAGTAACTTTTATTGGAACAATCTTCCTTGGGCCCAAATATGCAAAATCCTATATAACTAGTATAGGCATGTGTGATTTTTTTCTTATCATAGTCACTAGTATTAGTAGCATATAGTAGTTTTTTGAAATTTATGTAGGCAGTTTTCTCAGTATGGCTGAGTTGAAAGCTAAACGTTTTTTCGGTAAGACTGAATTTAAACAACACATCTTTTTCTGGTAACGGACTCTAGTGATAAAGCAATTGCCAGAAGTCCTACCAAATTGGGGCCAAGAATAACATTCTATCGAATTTAACAGACATAATAGCTAATTTATATTTTCAACCGGTAGGTATTACATTTTAACTCTAGAAGAACAATGCCCAGAAACTTTAAAATCTCCGACAACTTTGTAGGATGTTCTTGTTAACAGAGTAGTAACATTCTAAACCTTTCACACTTTCACTACTTCTGTTTTATTCACACTCCTGCAAGTTGTCCATGTATATATTTATATGCCAGATGATTTAGTCTTGAATAAACCCACTGTGCAGGTATAAATTCTGTTTAATTTATTACACAGACAAATTTAACAGGTCATAAATTAATTGATCATTAGAGGTGTACAGTTACTTTTACACTGCTACTTTATCATTGCTACACTTGTGCTAAAATCGTAGGTTACTATAGTTTTACAACTTTGTACTTGATATGGTGGCAGTATGAAACTTAACGCAGATAATATGATTACTTCTGCACAAATAGCGATTGCAACTGTAACCAACGTTTTACTGGCTGGTTAGTGCCGTAGATATAATAAAGAATATCTTTCTAATTTACCAGGTTTATCAATCACGTGACCTAAAAATGACCAATGGAAAGGTCACGTGGTCTATAAACCGGTCCGTTAGAAAGAGATGCAGGGACTGCGCCAGTTTACTCTGTCGCACTGGGGGACGGACCTATATTGCAAGAGTCAGTCTATTCGAATTATATGTCTATGCTTAGTGCATGTGTGCAACCAAATTCGGCGAAAATTTTGGGTAGTTAAGGTCATTTTGGAGGAAAAATGAATTGGGAAATAAATTGACTAGTTATAAAATGTTAACTGAATCAATTAGTGGAAGTGGAAATAGAGGAATCACAAAGAAAATTTAAATAGTAGTGAAGCTACAGGCATCGACGGAATAACAAATGAACTATTAAAAGATTGCGAACAATGATGGCAGATCAATTAGCAAAGCCCATAACAAAATATTACAGTAGAACAAAGTACGCAAAGAATGGAAAATCAGCGTGGTAATCATGATGTTTAAAAAAGGTGACAAAACGAATCTGAAAACTAGGGGAATCAATCTATTAAACACAACAATATGTGGGTTCTGTTTAAATGTTAGCGATCATAAAGTCTTTGCGACCCTGATACAAAGGAAACTATGAAAAGAAAAATTATTTAATCATAATAAAAGCAATTAGAACCATGCCAACGTCTTTCGTACTCTACGTATACAGGGTGGTGAATCGTCAAACGGGCCATAGGAAACTCAATGGGAAATTCTAAATTGTTGAATTCCTGCTTCCCTAATTATTTTACACCAAAAGTCATGGGAAACTATTTGTAGAGGACTCAAATATGTATCGAAAACAACTGTTAAAATTATTCTACGACTTAAAGGTATTCCAAAATTTTGCTAAAATATAATACATTTTTCTGTGAAAAAATGTGTATTACGTGTTGCGTTTTGTCATATTATTGTTTCTGATATTTGACAATATTTAAATCAATTATATTACATTTATCTATGATTTAAATGGCCAAAATTTTGTGATTTATTGTTTAAAAAAAAATTAAGTTGATTAAAAAATGTACTTCAGTTGAGGAGAAAAAAGCAATAATAAAAATTTTTTATTCATGTTTTATTATAACACTTGTTATAGTTTTATGTTTATAAATTATCATATATTATTATTAGGAATAAAGATCACAGTAACAGTATATTGGAATTCATTGAATTGTTGTATAACTTAACTTAACATGGAATTAAATTTTAGTGAATTAGAATATCTTACGTTAAATAAAGATCCGGTAGTGGCAGGAAAAGGTTCGCGCTATTGCCTGAGTACAACATTATGCGATTTTTTCGTCAACTGAGTACATTTATATTGATCGATTTGTAAACAATAT